TAAATTCATTTCTGCACCTAGTACTTCAACACAAACTACTATTGGTGAAAACACAAAAGCGTTATTATCATCATTTTCTAAGTAGATGCAACTGTTTCTCTCTTTACTTTTATTGGGGTCTTCAAATAGCAAGCAAAAACGTATAGTGGGGGTGGGGGTCAATTTAAAGTACGTATTTCATTTTTTCTAATTTATCACAATACACAAGAACTTGTTAATAACTAAATATTTTTGAATAAACAACACTTAAAAAAAAAAAAAAAAAAAAAAAAAACCATAACATGTCATCATTGTCCATAATTTACCAGCTAACCAATAGAAAAGTTAGTTTTTTGACTAAAGATCCTAGTTCGCCAACAAAAAAGATATATGGTTTAGGGAAGTCAAGGGTATAGTGAACCTCTATGTACACACATGAGGTTATCTCACCCCCGCACATGCATACATACCCGGCGCCTCCCTCCTTTAAAGAAGGTGATTTTTATGTTATAGTTAGTTTTTTTTAAGAATATAGTCGGCTAGTCATGTATTAGATACAATTCAGTAAGGTGAATTTTAGTTTTGAATACCTTTATTTTTTTTAAGGAAGAAATAGGTACTTTAAAGATCCAGCCCACTCCTTTATTTTATTCAAAGAATTGCATCTGTATATATATGTACATATATAAATTTATATATATATATATATATTTATATTTATATATACAGTGGTGGCTCAAAAAATTAGAGCCACCTCGAAACTTAGACAATATTTGAGTTTCGACTGTGAAATTAATTAAAACACATACGGATGTCCAGTTTTTGTCATTTCGCATTGTTAATTACTTTGTTTTGAACATATTTTTACAATGACAACACTATTGAGCGGTTTAGAGTGAAGTTAGTTGCATTATTGCAGAAGATGTCACATTTTAGCACGTGTTGTACTGGGCAATAATTGTGTTTCTGGCGGTTTTTATTTGTTGATTTTATATTTTTACACCAAAATTTGTTTATTTTACTATTCAACACTTATTATATATTCTATTTACAAGTAAGTTATCATTATTTTACAACTTTTTTATCATATTTAGGTAAATTTTGCAATTTTTTAAAATGATTGGTGTTTTTAAGGTATGGGCAAAGAGAAAGATATTTCTCCCACAAAACTAGGGCTTATTCAAGGACATTTGTCGAGTGGAAATCATTCCAACAGGCAAATTGCCAAGTGTGTGAATGTTTCCAGAGCAACAGTCAATAGGATTAAAAGAAAACTGGGGCAATAATCAATCACTAAAATTGAATAAAAGAAAAAATTGTGGACCAAATCGAATTAAAATGCCTCGCACCGAAAGAAAAATAAGGGATATTGTGATAGAAAATAGGAGAAAATCGAAAAAAGTGCTAAAGGAAATCATAAACAATGAAGGTATAACAATATCCCTTGCGACACTTCGGAGAAGAATGGCAGAGCAGGGGTTTAAGGCCTGTAGACCAGCCAAAAAACCAAGGCTCACCCAGGCAATGAAGGATAAACGTCTCCAATGGGCTAAAAATCATCGCCATTTTACCACTGATGATTGGGAAAGAGTAAGTACTCAGTTTCTCTTCATAAACACATTTAAACGAATACAATATTGAAAAAAAAAAAAAAATAAGTATTTCATCAAAAATATTAACCCAATTTTGAAAATTTTAGGTTTGCTTCTCAGATGAATCCACATTGGAAATTCTAATGGATAAAACTAATTTCGTCCGAAGAAGGACAGGTGAAATGTTCAATGAAAATTGTCTTGTGGAGAGGGTGAAGCACCCGCTAAAAATTATGGTCTGGTCAGTCATTAGTAGCCAGGGTACTGGAAGGTTATACATTGTAAAAAATACAATGCGGCAGGACCAGTACATCCAAGTCTTGAAGGAAAGAATGATTCCTCAAGCGATGGAGTGGTATCCGAATGGGAACTTTACCTTCCAGCACGGATCTGCTCCATGCCATAAGGCAAAAACTGTAACAAAGTTTTTAGAGGCTGAAAAAATCCATGTTTTACCCTGGCCAGGAAACTCGCCTGACCTAAATCCCATAGAAAATTTATAGGAATTGTTAAAGAGAGATATAAGTAAAAATCTTTTAACAAATAAAAGAGATTTGATTGAAAAATTAATAAATGTTTGGCACCACAGCGAGGAAATAAAAAAAAATTGTCAAAACCTCATCAAAAGTATGACCAGAAGAGTTGCAGCCATAATTGCTGCAAAAGGTGGCCACACTAAGTATTAGTGATTTTGTGTACAATATTTTGTATATCTTATTTATTTTTCCTAAATATACGTTACACTTCTATATTTTTGTCATTTACTATTATTTATATCCTATATTCCTAAAATAAATAGTTGTAAATTTAACTCATTACAAAATATAGGGAAAATCAGCTTCAGAATATGAAAATTTGTAAAAATGTTGGGTGGCTCTAATTTTTTGAGCCACTACTGTATATAAACTCTTGTATGGTTGTCGAAAAGTTTTACCATACTTTGTTGATATAAAAAAAAAATTAAAATGCAAGACTGGAATTATTTTTTTTTATTACTTGATAGACTGTTTTTAAAAACATTCAAAATGTTTTTAAAAACATTCAAAATGTTTTTAAAAACATTCAAAATGTTTTTAAAAACATTCAAAATGCTTTTAAAAACATTCAAAATGTTTTTAAAAACATTCAAAATGTTTTTAAAAACATTCAAAATGTTTTTAAAAACATTCAAAATGTTTTTAAAAACATTCAAAATGTTTTTAAAAACATTCAAAATGTTTTTAAAAACATTCAAAATGTTTTTAAAAACATTCAAAATGTTTTTAAAAACATTCAAAATGTTTTTAAAAACATTCAAAATGTTTTTAAAAACATTCTGGTCAATTAAATTTGCTTTTTTGCGGGTTTTTTTAAAATAATTTTCAATTAAATTAATGGTTTTAATTTAATGACAACACAGAAATGTTGGATGAAAGTCAAAAGTAATTAAAAGTGAAGTATTTATTGTAAAAAAAAAACATTATTTACATTCCGTACTCTTAAATTCAACAATTTATATAACTATATATATATATATATATATATATATATATATATATATATATATATATATATATATATATATATATATATATAAAGTCAACAATTTATATAACTATATATATATATATATATATATATATATATATATATATATATATATAAAGTCAACAATTTATATAACTATATATATATATATATATATATATATATATATATATATATAAAGTCAACAATTTATATAACTATATATATATATATATATATATATATATATATATATATATATATATATATATATATATATATATATATATATATATATATATATAAATACAGAACCGGCACTTGACATTTCAATGTTGGGTGAAAAAATTATTTTGGTGCCTCAATAAAATCAATTTAAAATATTGCAATGTATTTTAACCCAAACTTTTTGAAAGGTTATAAATAATTTATCTTGAAAATAGTACTTTTCAAAAACAATATTACTATATTACAATAAACTGTCCTGATTGGTTAGCCGAAAAATGCACATGCAATTAGGCGCCTCTATAAGCATGTTTATACTATGACTTATAGAGGCAAATAAATACTTATAAGTTTATTTTAAAATGCATGTACAATTATAAAAGTTAATGACTGTGTTATTATTTCAAGTTTTAGATTATAACTTATTTTTATTCAAATTTTTAGAAAAATCTAGATTAAGACAGATTCTTTAAAATTAATATTAAAATCTCTTTTAAATAATTGTTATAACTATTATGTCATCTTACAACAAAGTTGTATCCAATTCATTTTTAACATGTATACTATATATATATATATATATATATATATATATATATATATATATATATATATATATATATATATATATTTTTTTTTTTGCTTATCTTAGTCTTATTTTTTTAATAATAAATATAAAAATCAGATAGAATAACTGAATTTCAAAAAAAAGTTAGTGTACATAATGTAAATAAAAACTGTTTAAATAACCTTAATTTAAAAATAGGTTGTTGCTATGCAAAATTAGGTACTATAGCAACCAAAATAAAACATGTAAAATCAGAGTCGGGTTAGGGGGACTAGAAATTAATGGAAACTCAATTTAAACATCATATAGCTGAAGTGAATATTAGACACACGTCAATGTGTGTCAATTATAATTATAGTTAGTTAGATCTTTAAATTATTAATGAGATAACAGTAAGTATTACTGAGGTTCATGCTATGAAAAATTTATGCAACAAAAATGTTTTTTTTTATCTCTAAATATTCTAAAACAACATGTAATAATAATTTTTATTGATTGAATTGATTTTTATTATAATATTACACAACATTGATCTCACCGAAATTACATATATATAATTTTAACTTTTTATTCTTCGAGTCTCCGTAACTAAAGGATTTAATATAAATGAAGTATCAATAAATTTCTCTTAATATAAAAACTAAATAAGTTTTAGATTAGAAATCTTTTTCCATTTTCTTCACCTACTGAAAGCCCATTGAAAAGTATTAGGGTATAGGCAAAGAACATTTGTGCAAAAAGGCACGAGAACAATTTTAGAATCAAAATACCAAAAAATCTTAAAATTGATTTTTTCCAAAAAACTTTCTTATCTAAAAAATTTCTTATTTTTAGTTGCATGCCACCTTAAATAAAACCATTCTTAGTGGCTAAACATAAGAAAGAACAAATTCTAAACATAAAAAAGAACGAATTCACTATAAATACTATTTTTATTATTATCATTACTATTTTATAATCATTAATTATATATAAAGATCTGTATTTTTGGTGTTTACTTAAGATAAGTAAAACTACTATTTGTAAATATCCATGAAAACATTTTTCAGAATATATGATTGATTTGATTTGAAGAAAGAAAAACCACAAAGAATACATAAATACATAGAAAAAACAAAAAAACAAATTACCTCAAAATAACTGCTCTTGTTTTTTTCTTCTAAATAAATAAAAATTTCAAAAATTTACTAAAATTTTTAAAAAAATTAATGTGTGTATAGTTCAGGGTTGCCACTATAATTTGAAAAGTTTTTCCCTGAGTTTTCCCTGAATAAAGTACATTCTTCCCTGAGTTAAGTTCTTTAATTCCATGAGTTTTCCCTGACTTTTCTTTCTTTCCGGTTCATTAACGAGATTATTATTTTCCTTACTTAAACACAATCTTTATATTTTACTAAAACATTTTTCAATAACACCGACATCTTGCAAACTTATAATTGTATGTATTAGCAAAATACTAAAAAAAAAATTATTGTACAAAATTTCAAAAAAAAATTATTATTATTTTTTTTTTTTTAACATCTTCACTTCCAACAAGGCTGCAAGCAACCACTATAAGAGTTGGAAGTTACTGGAAGAGGAAAGACTAAATCTGTAGAGCAAGATAACGATTGACTGATGACTTAAAAGATTGCAAATTATATGAATCAGGAAAGCAAGATGAAGGAAGCGAATTCCAAAGAACTGATGTTCGAGGAAAAAAACTAGAAGAATAAGAGTTTTTGAAGCACTTAGGAACAGTCACAGAAAAAGGATGAGACTTAATTGAATGGCGAGTAACACGAGAATGAATTTTAGTAGATGGCACAAGGGACGCTAGCTCTTTAGAGCAGTGCCCATTATAGTATTTGTAGAAAAGAGAAAGAGAAGCAACATTACGACAATGTGACAAAGGTTGGAGATTGGCTGCCAGAGCAGGTCCAACTATGTTTAGTATTGTTATTATAGTACTGTTAATATTGTTATTATTGTTACTATTATTATATATTGTTACTATTATTTTCCTTGAGTTTTCCCTGAACTTCACAAAAATTAAAAAAATCCCTGAGTTTTCCAGGTTTTTCCTGGAATTCATGCTATTTCCATGTGTTCCAGGTTTTCCAGGTTGAGTGGCAATCCTGATAGTTGCTAATTGTCATAGAATTGTACTTTTTATTAACAGGTGTATTAAGATTTCAAAAATTAAATCCTGTAAATTGTATCAAAAATATTGGTATCAAATCTGAATTTAATTTAAGTTTTGCATCCCACCTTCAAGATCTAGCACTGAAACTAAGCCAATGTTATGTTAGCCAAAAATATTTATTAGATAAGTTTTCTTCATTGTATTGTTCTTTTTTAAGTATTCATATTTTGCTCCATTATTACTATCTATTATTTTAACTTTGACTATTATACTCTATATACTTTATTACTTACATGTCTTATTTTATTATTATTCACTATAATACTACTCTTGTTCTGATACTCACACTCATTAATACTAACATTATTGTTACTATTATTATTGTTAGTATTGTTATTATTGTTACTATTATTATTGTTAGTATTGTTATTAATATTATTATTGTTGTTACTGTTACTATTATCTTAATATCATTGTCACAATTATTATTATTAGAACTCTTATTCTGTTTACTTTTTAAAAAAAAATTATAGTTCGCTTAAAACTCCAAAAAGCTGGTTTATATTTTGTTTAAAACAATGAAAAAAGTAGGTTTAACAAATTAAACTAGTTTTTGTCATCGCCTTTAACAAATAAATTTTTTATCTTTATTTGTTCCACCAGTTTTGGAGATATATCTAGCCTCATCTATTTAAACATTGTTTTAACTAATTTACTCCTAAAGAGACTGCTAACACCGACTAAGTTAAAATTTACCAGAAAACATTGATATTATTAAAGAGAAAGGAAACAGTTGATAGAAGAAAGTTAAAAAGAAAGAAAACAGAAGAATTGTATAATGTATAAGTTAGGAAAACATGAAGACGATGATACAACAAGTAGAGATCCAAATGATTGTGTGATAGTAACAGTAAAACAGGAATAGTTAAAGTAAATGGATTATTCTTGACTTATCTTATGTGGTTACTTGTGCCTCTTTATAGTGGATATACAACTCTTTCTATTATCACGTCATGAGAGTACAACTGCTAAATTCAGTTTAATGGTTACGAGGCCGGCTAGTAAGTTTCCTAACTCTGTAAATAATCAGAGTATTTACAGCTCCATGTTTCTCATGGAAAGTGTGTCCATGTTAGTGCTTTTGGTGTGCATTGTCAAGGCCACATAAGGAACCCTTAGTTACAACTTTAGGTTAATTGTTTAAGGTGACATGCTTTATCTTTGATTGAGTCAAGTTCTACTTAACTTAAAACATGTAAAAAAACCATCACCACCACCTAACTGTGTAAATCTATCTTTTATTAATAATTGTGGTCTTTGAAGTAACTTTACATTAATTGGATCTTTCTTTTTTCAAAATTCACCAGACTTTTTATGAGACTAATTGGAATTCTGCTGTTTCATCTTTTGAAATCAGTGTTGATGGCAATTATCGTTTGATTTACAATTACTTTAATTGTAACATGATTGGCCAAGGCATATAGCTACATCTATTCACCATCAGGCATCAACACATCTATTTGTTATGAAATCCTATTGTGACTATTCCTTTATGCTTTTCCCTCCTTTTTTATGCTTCATGTCATGTGATGATCTTTGTTGTTTTTTTTTTCACCTCTTTGTTTTTTCATCATTTTTCTTCTCAAAACAGTACTTTTTTAGATGTATTTTTTGACCTGGTTGACCAAACTCTTTCTCTTTATCCCTCAGCTAATTGTATCATTATCATTGTTATAAATAACTGTGAAAAATAATTATAAATAAATTATAAATAACTGTGTGTTGTTTGAATTAAAATTAACAATCCACTGCAAACCCCAAACTTACATCACAGAAGAAAGATCACACTAAAGATCAGCTGGTTGTGTTTTTAAGTTTTGTTTTTGACGATTGCTTGTGGTTTGCCTATCTAATTTTCTACATGCCCTATGTTAATAGAAGAAATCAATAATAACAATAATAATAATAATAACAATAATAATAATAATAGAAGAAATCAAAACAACTATATATTTTCAACAATGAAACTTGGAAAAAATGTTAACTAATAACTGCTTTGATGTCACTAAGGGCTGCTTTGATGGAGCCGAGGTTTGCAAGCGTGTAGGTCTGTATATTTTAAATTTATTATCAGAAACTGAGACAACAGACAGATAGTGATGTGTAGAAAATCTGCCACACAGATAGATAGAATCCAAAATAATAAAACATAATTTTTTTTTAAAATTAGCCTATTATAATAAATAAGAACAAACCTATTAATTGCAAGCTTTCTAGATGTAACTTTTAATTTGGAAAAAAGACTCATATCATTCTTTCAAAAAAACATACTTTACATCCATACCGAGTATACCCATCCCCACAAATTATCAAATTCCAATTGTTATCAAAAATAGATTATCTCAAAATTCTTCCAACTAAAAAATATTCAACTTGTCAATGGCAGAATACCACAAAGCCCTAAAAAGAAATGGCTTCAAAGATTTTAACTTTAAATACAAACCTAAAAACAATCCCAAAGTAGCCAAAAACAAAACAAAACAAAAATTTGACACCCTCCCCCCCTCACCCCACCCTCATTAATTTTTAATTGTTATCAACAAAATCTTTATATCTTAAAATTAAAACAAAAAAATGCAGTGAAAATCAGCCTTAAACAATTTAAAATAATTATTTCAGCCACCGATAAAAACAAAGGCTTTAAAAATCCCTGCCCTAGTAAATCTTGATTTTTCGAAAATGAGCTTTTAACTTATTTCTCACTAAACTATAAAACTCATACCAGTATATTAAATCCTATTGAACTTATGATAAAACAGCTGTTAGAAAAATTAACAAACAAACAAATTCTATTGGTTCAAAAAATACGCTAACTAAGCGAAATATAGTTCTAGAGTATTCTGTTGAAATGTTTTAGAAATTGTATTATTCACAATTTGTTACGTTTTGAGATTTCTAGCATAAATTGTTTTAAGAATATTTGTTTACAAAAATAAATGTTTTAAATATATATTAATTAAATTTTCAAAATTTTAAAAGTTTATTACAAATTATAGATTTTATTAGTATATTCTTATTTTTTATTTAAAAAGTATGTATTCTTTATGTAAACGTAATTTTGTTTTGCTTCCTCGTCATAAAGTTTTTTTTAACCTTTTTAGTTGATTTCTACCTTGTTAATTTAATTTCTATAGTAATTCAATGATTTAATTATTCCATTTGTTTATCTTACTAAGAAGAATTGCTTCAAATATGTTAAACTTTTCAAACTACGTGAAACATAAAATAGGTATTAAAAAATAACTTTTTTTATTTTCAAAATAGTTTAGCTTAAATAAAACTAAAACTTGCAAACTTTGTTAAACAAAGAATATTATATTCCTTTTTAAACAATCATAAGATGTTACTTTATATAAAAAACATCGCTTAATTTTATAAAAAAAAATTATAAAAGAGCGATGTTTTGAAAATATTTGTTCTAAACGTAATTTATTTAGCTTTAAGTTTTTTCGCGTACTAAGATTTTAATTTTTTTTTGTAATTGTCTCTCATCGGTCCAATTAATCTTTTGCACTTTTTTTTTTTGCTTTTTAAAATGCTCTCAAAAAATCTGGCCAGCTTTTCGCAACTAAATATTATTTACGTGGTCAGCAATCGAGAGCGATCGCTCCCGCTTCCAGACCAAGCCTGATATATATATATATAATATATTATATATATATATATATATATATATATTTATATATATATATATTATATATTATATATATATAATATATAATATATAATATATAATATATAATATATATATACATATATATATATATATATATATATATATATATATATATATATATATATATATATATATATATATATATATATATATATATATATATATAATCTTTAAAAGTCATTCTCTTGTTATACGATAATAATAAAACATGTAAAATTCAATAAAAATGGCTGCGTATAAACTTTTTAAAAATATATATTTGTTTTTATTTTAATATATATATACTTTTTTTCGATAT